AACATCTCAAGTGAGCTATCTGGGGTGAAAGCCATTCTTTGTAGCTTTTTCTCTCCAGCTTCCCATTGCTTTGGGACCCCACAACCAGTTAGCGTCCTCTCCCCAACTGTCAGCACAGGCAGCAGGAATCACACACATATATATCTGATAAAGGACTAACATCTAGGACATAATGAAAAATCTTGTAACTCAGAAGACAAATGATAAATGCTACCCCCAAAATGGACAAACATAAGAATAATCTGTTGCAAGATAATATGTGCAAATGACTTATCAACACTTGAAAGCTGCTCAAAATCTTCGCTGGCAGGCTCTGTACCACTGAGCTAAACCCCCAGCCCCCTAATCTCCACTTACCAGGGAAGTATTAATTTAAGCCATGAGCTATTACAACACATACTGGAATGGCCTACAAAAAGTCTAATTATACCAAGTATGGCCATCAGTGTGGATATATTGATCTCTCTTACCTTGACATTAAAGTGTATAATGGTTATAACCACTGGGGAAATGGTTTGTAGTTTCTTACAAATTTAAGTATGTATCTATACTTTGACCCAGAAATTTCACTTTATGTATTTGTTCAAGATAAATGTATGTACATGTTCGCACAACAAGTTGTATGCTGTATATCTTAGCAGCTTTATTTGGAATTGAACTCAGGACCTCATGCTTGCCAGGCAAACACTGCACCACTGAGCTAAACCCCTGGTCCAGCTTTATTTGTGAGAGCCTTTAATTAGATAATTCAAATAGTTATCAAGAGAATGGATAAAGAAGTTGGCAGTAGCCAGGTATGGTGCCATGTATCTGTAATCCAGGCGCTGTGGGAGGCTGAGGCTGAGAGGATTCCAATTTGAACCCAACCTGGGCAATTTATCTAGATGATGTATCAAAATAAAAAGGGCTGGGGATGTAGCTCAATATGAAGGCTCTGGGTTCAATCTCTGGTGACACAAAGTTGTAGTATAAATTTATACAATGGGATACTGCTGAGCAATGCAAAACAGCAAACTATTGAGACACATGGTACTCAGACACATGCTGATCAAAAGAAATGAGACACAAAAATGACTCGAAGTAAAGTTCTGTAGTGCTAGAAATACATTCAGTGTTTGAAGCAGAAGTTGGGAGGGATTACCTGCAAAGTTGGGAGGAAACTTTTGGGGGTGATGGAAGTGTTTATATCCTGTTTGAGGAGGATCACATACGTGTATACACTTATCAAAAGTTACCAAATTGTACATTTGAGGTAGCTTTATTGTATGCAAATTTCTCCACATTTAAGGTTGATTTAAAAGTTTGGTTGGAAGGAGTCATATCACTGTAGTAGTTATTCTAATAAATAAGAGTAGATTACATACTGCCAGTAAAATAACTGTCAGATTAGGTTAAGAAGCATAGCCTGAATAGGTATTATTTAGAAAAGAACTTTAAAACTTGATAGAGAGGATAAAACATGAAGAATTGAAGAAAGATCTGAGGAACAGGAAAACAAGAGCAATAACAACAATAACAACAACAAAAATCAGTAATTATAATAATAAGGTGGAATAAAACTAAGTGGGTACTACTATGATAAAAAGCATAATTTATAGGAACCTAACAGTCATAAGCTTGTGTGAATAAATAGTTAAATATGTAAAGCAAAATAATACGAGAAATGAGATAGAGCCGTCATAGTGTGGCACTTGAATATTTGTAAAATTAGATCTAGTGGATAAGAATATAAAGAATGGAGTAGTGCTTTCAGTGAACTTAATTATATATGCATATAAAGAATAAATGTTTTAGAGTGGGCATACCTGTAATCCCATCACTCACAAGGCTGAGGCCAGGAGGATCGCCACAAGTTTGAGGCCAGCCTGGGCTACGTAGTGAGTTCAAGACCAGCCTGAACTACATAGTGAGACCCTGCCACACACACACACACACAAAAAAAAGTTTTAGGCTGTGTGTATGGCTTAGTGGTAGAACACTTGTCTAACATGCTCAAGGGCCTGGGTTTTATCTCCAGCACCACACACACACAAAAGTTTGAAATTCTTACAACAGCGTTTTGAAAAATATCCAAGGAACTTTTGTTAAAGATTGTCAGTGTTCAAGGTATTTGACCATAAGGAAAATTTCTATAGTTGGGGGAAGTTGAGATTTTACATGTTACATTATTGGGTAATAACAGAAGTTAATTAATTTATTAGAGGATTCTTCTGAAACTTGCCACCTATGGAGGGCTCCCCTGTTCTTTGTATTTGTTTCCACTGCAGAATTATCCTCAATGTATTCTCGAACTGAGAAACTGGTAGCAACAAGGGGCTTATTCTATTTCTGGCCTTATATTATTGAAATGCCTTTATGTTTCAATTTGATGCCGTTTGTGACTGCTGACGAACTGGTGCCAGGCAGTACTTACATCTCTATCTAGATCTCATCAGTGACACTGTCAAACTTGATCTGATATTTTCAACTGATATTTTTGGGTTCTCCTTTTAAATCTGCTAACCTTTCAGTAACTACTGGGCCATTCATGAATATATAGGAAATTTCAAATTAAATTAGGCAAAATTCAAAAGAAACAAGAACATCTAATACAGAGGGAATGTGAGCAGCACATTTTCATACATTAGTGGTGCAAGTGAGAATTGTTATAGCTTTTAGGAAAATAATTTGGCACCTTTATTAACAATAAAAATTTTTAAATTTCTTTTTGGCCCAGTAATCTTTCTTTTAAGGTTCTGTTCTTAGAAATAAAAGCACAAATAAGGCCATATGTAAGGGGTATTTATTATAGCAGTGTTTTAATGCCAACCATCTGAAAAACAAAAATGTTAGTAGGGGACAGACAGAAAGTTGACACTTCATTGGTTGGAATATTGTGCTACATGAAATAGAATGAATTAGGCTAATGCCTACTTAGTTGGAGAGATTTCCTCCTGGTTTTATTCAGTGAGAAAAGAAAGATGCAGAAACGTTTGTATAATAATTGTGTAACTAAAACTTTTAAGTAGTTAAGAGATCCACATGAATGTCATAGGCTTGTGAGAATGAAGAAAAATAGTTAATAATGCTTGTTGGTGGTTACATATTTATCTTGGGTGGAGGTGAGTGGAAATAATTGGAGAGGATAATGATAAAGGGAAATTGTTCTTTAGTTAAACCTGTCTGTGATCATATCTGAACATTATCTGTAGAATTTTGTAAATGTGTATGCTTAAAATATTAAGTAAACATTTAAAATAAAAGTGACCTATTTCTTTTCTAAAAGTGATACTGTTGAATTTGTTCATGTGAAGTCCATAGAAACTCTTAAAAGCAAAAGCAAAACAAGCATAGTAGGTAGCCCATTAAACTTTCTGACCCTGTACACACACATACACACTAACAAGTGGGAAATGTATTTACCCATAAAACTAAAAGTCTGAATTGAAGTAGGGTGCTTTCTGTGGATGGTTGGCACTGCTCTTCTTTGCCTTCCTTTCATTTGTTATCCTTGGTGCTGGCTTTGTACTCAGGCTCATAGTGCAATGACTACAGTTCTTGCAGCTATAAAATTCAACCGTACCAGTCTAGAGAGAGGATGATCTCTTTTTAGATGTCTGTTATAGATTGGTTTTTAGAAGCATTTGCTGGAAAGATTTAGGTATGCTTTTTGTTCATCTCTGTTGGTTATAATGTGTACATCCACTTCTTAGGGTGTGGCAAATCTTTGTTTTATTCAAATTTGTGCACTCATTGAATATGACTGTCCAGTCATTTTCTATTATGATATACATTAATGTACCAAATCTGCCTAATTTGTATTATATTGCTCATTAAGAAAGATTAATACATGAAATTCTGAAAACTGACTTTTTTTCTTAATTTAAATTACAGACTAACTGGATCTTCGGGGTTTGTAACAGATGGACCCGGAAATTATAAATATAAAACAAAGTGCACGTGGCTCATTGAAGGACAGTAAGTAGAAATGGTTAACCTTCTTTTGTTTGTTTATTTCTTTATAGGATAGCACTCAGTGTGGCATTACTTTTCCTGCAAGTGGAATTAGCACTTTATAGCATAAAGTACTGAAGATATTTTTGTTTAATAACTTTTCACTTGATAAGTGAATATTTTTATTTTTCTGAATTTTCATTGTTAATTTTTAAAAAAAGTTTCAAGTTGATTTAATGCCGCAAATGAATTGTAAACACCAGAAATTTACAAATTTTCAGCTATAATAGTGCACAAAACTATTACTATTTTTAGTGCTTGGCTTAAAGCAGTATAAAATGGTAATATTGTATCAGTCTTCTAAGTGCCTTTTTTTTTAATTGTGCTGAGAATGGCTCCCAGGGACTCACACATGCTAGGCAAGTGCACTGTCAAAGCTTCAGCCCCAGGCCCCAAATGACTATTTTTAGTGTGTCAAAAACATGAGAATAAACATTACTGCCTAAGTGCTACTTCTCTGGACCTCCTGTGTCCCCCAACTATTGTCTTTTTTTTTGTCCTTCCCTTCATGGCAGCCCTTTAATGCAGCATTTCTCAAACTTTTTAAGTTTCAGGATCTCTCTATACTGTTAAGCTTTGAAGATTCCAAGTAACTTTTGTTTATGTGGGTTGTATCTCTCTGTGTTTACTATTTTAGAAGAGAAAACCAAGAAACCTACTAATCATTCATTTAAAAGTGATAGTTACATGTTAACGTGAATGTCATTTTTAATGGAAAAAATCTTATTTAAAGAAATTTTAGTGAGAAAAGTAGCAATTTTTTGTGCATTTTGCAAATCTCTTCAGTGTCTGACTATACTAAGGCTTTTTTTGTTTTGTTGTTTTTGTAAAATATATGATACTTAAGCAGATTTAAATGTGGATAGGAAAGATTCCGATAAGAGGGAAATGTTAAATATTTGAGAGGTTGAAGAAGTAGGTAGGTTTATCTGTTTTGGAAAATAGAAATTTTAGGGAATTTTGTGAAGATACTCAACATAAGTGGAGGGTGGGCTTGGATGGTTGAAATGATCATTGAGAATTTGCAGTTTTGAAGAGGGAGACTCAGTGATGGGAGTGTGGATGGAATTGAAAGGCCGTGTGAAGTGGTGAGCAGAGGCCAGTATAAAACCAGTCTGCCCAGTAGTGTGACTTTTTACAGTTCAGCTTAGGTTTCTTTAAATTTGATCTAAGTCAGAGCAGATAAAGAGTTTCTTCTAGGCCAGGGATTTTGCCAAGCAATGCAGTGAAAATGCACAGGAGCAGGCAAATTCAGAAAATTGAGAGATATGTTTGTGAAATGCTATACTATGCAATCTTAAATTGATTAAGGATGGGAGCAGAGAAATGGATTGGTTCAGAGGCTGTTAAAGACTGGCTGCTAAATAGGCTGTAAGTCCCAAAGAGTCACAGACCACATCTGTTTTGTTTCTCATTGCATGTTTAATGATCTCTTATACACAGTAAGTACTAAATAAATCTTTGGCAAATGAAGGGATGTTATTTATATATTATTAATTTTTTTCTCCTTATAAATTCTTTAAAAAGTGTTATTTTTTCAAATGTTTGATATGGTGATTATTATAAATTACTTTTTTTGTTCTTTTTAGGCCAAATAGAATAATGAGACTTCGTTTTAATCATTTTGCTACAGAATGTAGTTGGGATCATTTGTATGTTTATGATGGAGACTCAATTTATGCACCACTAATTGCTGCCTTTAGGTAAGCTCAGTCATATAAGTACTAGCAATCATTGTTTGATTTCTAAATTTAAGTGTATCTCTTGGGTTGCATTATTACTATATTTACCTTATTATCTCCTAGCACTTTTATTTTGTGGAATAAGTACTAGTTATTGAGTCTGTCACTTGTGTGCTAGTCCCAATTTGGTTGCTCTGGCTACCTGATAGTGGTGGTGAAGCTTATATTTTGTATTAGATTATATTTCTTTGAAAAACCTTTGAAGCCACATTGATTTTGTTTTTGTGTGTTCTTCATTGCATAGTCCTTTAGGAATTATTTGTCAGATTCAAATACAGTGTTGTGTATGCACATGCACACATTTATGTATATGTAGTGTTACAGGTGAGGGAAACTTTTTAGAAGAATGCACATAAAATCAACAGTGGTTACCTGCTGGAAATGAGGAGCATACTAGTTATGTTTAGTGATTTTTTTTTTTCAACAAATACACTTTATGTTAGTAGTTAAAGCAGTTTTGCTAACTATATGGAATATTCTTAATTTATTTTGGTATTTTAGTGTTTTTTTTTTTAGCAATAAGAGCAGTGTTGTTTATTCTAAATGAATTCAAAACTGTTTTTCTTCCTTTTACATGATCAAGTGTTCTACACTGTTTTCAAAGGGCATATCTCCATAGGGAATCATAGTTGTCAGTTTTTCATCTGCAACTGACTTTCAGGATGTCCCTCCTTCAAACGTTTTATTTCCTTGACTTTAAAAGAAATCAGGCCAACAAATATTTTTTATGTTCTTCACTTGGGGCTAGTCTCATTGATGTTCCCACATGGGTGAGGAAGAGAATAAGCAGTACATGAGAAGCCCAGGGACAGGAGATCAGGAGACTGATTTGCCCTTGTTATTTCTCCACTTTTTTTGTCTAGTGTGCAGTCTGATCTATCTTTGAACTGAGAACAAGACCATTTTCTGGAATTTAAAGTTTCACATATAGACCCAAACAACAGGCTATGGATAGGCCATGCTAAGCATTGAAAATTGAGCAAGTATTAGGCATGAGTATCTTTATACCTGCCTTTGAAACATACCTTATGTTAGGGCAAGAACCACCCCAAGCTTTAACACAAGCACAAAAACTAATATGATGTCATCTATGAATAGTTGTTAAGGATTCACTCGTTTTTGCATTTACTAATCAGAACTAATGGAGCCCATGTTATCTGCCAGGCATTTTGAATCAACTTGCCAGTACGCAGTGTAGGAATATGAGCCAAGCAGGTGTACATAAACCAGTAGTTCATCTGGACTAAGTTTTTGATGGGCAGACACATGAAATAACAAAACACGAAGGCTATAATTATTCTAACCAGTGACATTTAAGAGAAGCCAAAGTATATGTACAGAAAGCTGGTTAGCAATATTAAGTTAATGCACTGATTAAATTTAACTTATTATATATTTAAATGTGAATTTCCTAAAAATATAGTGAGAAAAATGAAAAATTAAAATTTGCTTGAAACACTGATATGCAGAGGCATTTGAACACTGCTGTCTTAGGATATACTAAGGCCTCTACAAGATGGCTTGCTCAGGAGTGCTGTTGGATCAGAAGCTCTTTGGGTAGAGAAATCAGTGTGTGTCTAAAGGTCCGGCTGTGAGGGTCCAGGGTGGAGAGAGCCTGACAACTGATAGCTCTGCTAGGACCATAACAATAAAGAAAAGAAGAACCAATTAAGATTTGAAAGGTATAGACCTTAAGTCTAGGTTCTGCCCAAGTTTTTGTGAGGACTTGAATAGGTTATTCAGGTGCTTTGGTTCTCAGTTCCTAAAACCTAAGGTGAAGATGTTGTATGTCATCTCTTTATCACAGTGATGGCAAACCTTTTAGAACTTTCATTGATAACAGCTATCCTCCTGTGATACACATGCCACCATTGCTTTACCCTGTGTTCTCTCTGGGTGAATTACAGACTTTGAAGCTTTGACTCCAAACTGCGGGATCACATTTATCTTTTTATGTATTGAAGTTTTTAAAAAACTCAGTTTAACAAAAGAGTTACATTACCAGACAAATGTAAGAAGCAGTGGAGCAATTTAAGACTCTTCCCACTCCCCAATATTATGATTTTGTAGTTCAACAGGCGCATGTGTGGAGCACCTTGTGGAGCAGAGACTTTTGGTAGGGAGCTGCCAAGATGATAGTGGTGATGGAGCAAGGGAGTGATTTCCTCCCGAGAACATTTTTCAAAAGAGCAGTTCCTTATGGAATTACTATTTTTTAAAGAAAGTTATGTATTGATGAGGAGGTGTTAGACATTGATGATAATAGAGGAAGCTCTGTGAAAGCAGGAAGCAGCCTGTCTGGCTCCCATTTGAAACCATGGTCAGACTGCAGCATGCTTAGAGAAAGTAACCAAAGGAAGACACATACCTCATATTCTTAGACTCTCCTTTACCAGGCAAAAGTATAGACTCTGCCTGACTTCATAACTGCCAGGGCTCTGACCCCTGACTTTTAGGAATCTGCCTTACTTTCTACATCTTTCATCCCTTGAAGTGCACGTAGTCTTGCAAGGAGACAAGCATGTCAAACTGAAGACTACTAGTAAATTTACATAGTATAGTTGATAAAGTCGTGTCTAGAGAGCTCATGTTTGGGACAATTATGCCAAGTTTCAGGTCCGTTAAGAAAATACCTCGTACTGCCAGGCATAGTGGTACCCTTTTATAGTCCCAGGGAATTCTTCTTTGTAAAGATTGCAAGTTCAAGGCCAGCCTGAGCAATTTAGTGACTTAGCAAGACCCTGTCTCCAAATAAAAATTTAAAAAATAGCTGGGGTGTTAAAGTTTGGGATTTTGCAAGGAGAACAATATAATATAGGACATTTTTTTTTTTTTTGGTCTTTTTGAGACAGGGTCTTGCTATGTAGTTCAGGCTGGCCTTGAGCTCACTTTGTAGCCCAGGCTGGTTTCAGACTCACAGCGATCCTCCTGCCTCACCCTCCTGAGTACTGGGATTACAGGCATGCATGCCCACACCTGGTTACAGGACACATATTTTATAAGATTGTTTGTAATAGTCACCCAAAGAATTGTATACAAAAAGCGAGTGCAGGAATCTGTCCATACACTGAAGACCAAATAATCCAGCTGAGGGCCTAGATCCCACAATAATGTCCTGCATGAGTCCAGCTGAAAACCTAGAGCCCATAACAAGGCCTCCCATGAGTCCAGCTGGAGGCCAAGAGTCCATGACAATGTCTCATGCAGGCCTATTTCACAGTTCTGCACTGGAAAGATCCAAAGGTCAGTGGTGGAAGCTAGAAAGTCTGTGCCAGCAGAAGGAAGAATCTGTGCTAGCAGGCTGAGGGATTTGAACTGGAACCAGGAAGCGATGCTCAAAATAAGAACAAAAGTCCCCCGAAAAGTACCACAGCCATCCTCAGCAACAGTGAGGTCCCGAGCTCCTCTGATGATGAGGAAAGCTGAGTTCCCATCAGGAAAACTAACATGACAAGCTTCTCCAGGAGACTGAGCAGCTCCTGTGGGAGCAGGAGGTGGTGCTCAAAGTGAGGACCAGAGCTCCCCTAAGGTGATCCCTAGCCATTCTCAGTGACAATGAGGAACCAAGCTCCTCCTTTAATGAGAACAGCCAAGTTCATCAGGAAAGCTAGCATGACAGGGTCCTCCAGCAGAATAGCCCAAGAGAACCAGCAGCTCCCCAGCAGCTTCCCAACAACTTCTGACAGCTCCCAACTTCTTTTCCAGTTCTACCTCTTATGCTGCTAGCATCAATCCTCAGGTGGGCCTCCCACACCCAGTACTATGCTGGTTCAGTTCAGCTGGGCATTACAAGTTGACGACCATATTGATGGTCTGTGTTTAAAATATAAAAATATGAACAACCTGAGGGCCAGGAGTTCTAAATTTGCTCAACTAGAACAGTTGGTTGCAGCCTAGACTGCACATACTTTTACACTGTACCTCACAACTGCCTGGCTTGCACAAGCATATAATATATGCTTTCCTTAGGGGCAAGGATAGGGAGGCAGACTGCCTACCATTCAGTAGCAGCTGGAAGGCACACCCACAACGTCTTTTCCTTACCTATATGCTTTTCATTTCCTTGTGTGCTGAATGAGGCTGTGTTTGAACTCATTTACTCTGTAAAAGTTCATTTTTGTCATAAACAAGTTATTTTCACACTGGGAGAAGTCCATCAGCTCTAAGGCTGTCACAATTTCAAGTTTTTGAAGTGAATAGAAGCAAATACCTAAGCCTCTGACAGTGAAGAAGCTGACCAATTCATTTTCTCTAGCTTCATGTAGTTACAGTTGGTAGAATCATTCATCATGTGCACTTGAATGCTCCCACAATATAAAGACCATCAACCATTACATACTGAGTGCCCACTAGTGTGAGGTGGTGCTTAATAAGCACTCACATGCTGTATTGGCTTGATCCTCACTACATCACTGGGAGCTAAGTGGGATTTCTCCTTTGTGCATTTGAGGAGATTGAGACTCAGAAATGTCAGTGACTTGCCCAGGCATATGGAGCAAGGATTAGAGTTTGAGTTAATCAGTCTTTTGTCACTGTGACCATATACCCAAGAAAAAAACAACTTCTAACAAGAAAAGTTTATTTTGGTTCATTGTTTCAGTCCATAGTCAGCTGCTCCATTAGTTCTAGGCCTGTGGTGAGGCAGAAACATGTTGGTGGAAGATTGTTGTGGAAGAAAGCAGCTTACTTTATGGGATCCAGGAAGGAGAGAGAGAAAAGGAAAAAGCACCAGGGAGAAAGGGGCCAGGGACCAGATATAGTATCCAAGGTCACACACAGGATCCATTTCCTTCAGGTAGGTCCCACCTGTTTCATCACTCCCAACAATGCCATCAAATTATGATCCATGGATTAATCCACTGGTGAAGTTAGAATTTTCAGGATCCGGTCACTTCTCAAAAGCCTATTAGCAACTAAGCCTTCAACACAATGAGTCTTTTAGAGGGACATACAGTATATCCAGTTCATAACAGATTTCATGTCTCTTTCATCTTGAAATTCATGCTAGGCTAAGAGAGGTGTAAGATTTCTCACATGTGACAAGTCTCCAGTTCCTGTCTGTGCTAGTGTTTCTCATTGGGAGATTGGTTTTTGTCTAGTTGCTTTCTCATTGCTGGGACAAAATACCTGACACCCACAAGTTAAAGGAGGAAAGGTTTATTTTAGTTTACAATTCGTAGAGATTTTAGTCCACAGTCGGCTGACTCCCAGGCAGGGCAGCATGGCAGAGGAGAAACAGCCCATGGCAGTGTAGGCAGAAAGCAACAAGCAGTGAACCTTCTTTTCCCTTTTTATTCCATCTATGCTACAAGCATATTGGTTGGTGCCACCTACAGTGTGGGCCTTCCCATTTGCTACACCCAGAACCATGTTAAACCAATCAGTGGGCTAATCCGGTTATTGCACACTCACGATCCAGTATCACACACCCATAATCCAGCCATCTCTCAAAAGCCCCCCTATAAGTGCGAGAGGCTTTAGGGGGACATCTAAATATAAGCCATAACAGTTTTGATTTGCCTCTTTGGCATGCCTGCTCTTGCAAGTACTTATCCCTTTGATGTTTCAAGGGATTCTGGTCCAGATGAAGCATCTCTAATCTGAAAACTGAATTGCTCCAAAGTCTGAAACTTTTTGAGTTTTGATGTGACATCACAAATGGGAAATTTCACAACATGAAATTATTTCATGCACAAAATTACTAAAGATATTTTACAAAATTACCTTCAGGCTATATGTACTAGATATATATGAAAATAAATGAACTTCATGTTTAGACTTAGGTCTTATCCCCAAGATATCTCATCATGTATAAGCAAATATTCCAGATGTGAAAATACTTGAAATACAACTGGTCCCAATCATTCAGATAAAGCTAAGTTGCTCAGGATGGCCTCAAATTTAGGATCTTTTTGCTATAGCCTTCCAAGTAGCTGGGATTACAGGCATGGAACACTGTCTGGCTGGGAACACTATCTGCCTTTTTAATGCAGTAACTTTTGCCCTGCAGGGAAAATTTAGTAGCATTACAGTATCTCTGCCTGGCATTTTATATACAGTCACACACACAGACACAGGTTCACACCCACGTACGTGCATATAGGGATGTATCCAGGCTTGTTTCTCTAACTGAGCTCCATGAGGTGAGGACATTGTCTTCACTATTATATTCCTGGTATTTAGAACAGTGCCTCATAAGTGCTTAGTAAATATTTGTTGAATACATAGTAGAAAATGCATTTGTGTTTGGTAACCCCAGGAGTACTTTTAGAATTTTAGGGTTCTTAGAGTTCTGTCTTCACGTTAAAAATTAAATGACTATTCCATCTCCTCCTCATCTTTATTCTCTGCTTGTATTCGCTTGCAGTCATTTTTATATGCAGTCATATAAGTTCAGGTAAATGTGTACTTATACCAGATCCATTGTTTTGCAGGCTTGCTCTATCCCCTCACATCAGAATGCCTTGATTAGCTTCCTGTTAGTCCTCCACACCTATACATATGTAATTGTTACCAGATGGGGGGTCTTATCAAGTTTTTTGGTATCCTGAACAAAAGGAACAGCAGGGTCATAGACCAAAGATCAAAGATTTATTGACAATGAAATTACACTGCACAGGAGGGAGTGGGCCAGTCAGAAGAACTCACAAGCCGGGGGGCTTTGTGTTGAGGGTTTAAAGCATTTGGGCTTGGGTGGAATTAAAAGGTTATTTTAAGATTTGCTCTTAGCAGGAAGTGGCTTACCTCTGCCTCTCTGTCAGGCAGTGGAGTTTTTGACCTTTTGTGGCCCTTGAAAGAACTGTCATGCCACCCAGAGGCCACTAAGACGTGGGCTGGTGGTCAAAATACCATTGTTAATGATATGGTAGTTAAGGCCTGGGTTGGCAAGGGTTGCTGAAGACTACCAGGTACACACCTGGAGACTTATTGTGTGTGAGCAGGGTTACCTGGAAATTCTGTCTTAGTTACTTTTCCCTCATTACTGAGACAAAACACCTGACACTCAAAATTAAGGAAGGAAAGGTTTATGTAGCTCACAGTCTGTGGATGTTTCAGTCCATAATCAGCTGGCTCCAAGGCAGAGTGGCATGGCACAGGGGCATCAGACAGTCCAAGGTGGCAGAAGACAGCAAAAGCAACAAGAGCAAAAGGGAGGAGCAGTGGAGAGCAAACCTCTTTCCCTCCCTTATATTGTATGCAGGCTACCCACCCCAGGGTGATTATAGCACTCACACCCGTAATCCCAGCGTTGGATCATAAATCAGTCAAAAACTCTAAAAGCCCCCGTCCCCACTGCATGAGGCTTTGGGGGAACATCTAGACACAAACCATAACAACTGGTTACTTTCTCCTACTGTATTTAGATCTGGATATTCGGTCCTGAGTTAAAGTTTAACTCATGAGGTAGATCTGAGCCCTTAAAGCAGCCTCCAAGGCATGTCACCTCTCTCTCCAGCTGTGGTTGCTACTTCCTTAAAATGACTCATTCAGTCAGCTCCTGGTGGTTGAGGACTTAGATGCTTTCCAAGCTGTTGCTGTCTGGATAGTACTGCCATTGGAATTCCTACATATTTGTTTTTGTATATATGAACAAGGATTTCTTTGATAAAGACACAGCTGCGAGGTCAGAATGAATGAGCATTTAAGATGGTCATAGATGGTGGTACATGGTCTTAAGAAAGCAAGAGGGCTAGGGGGTGAGCAAGTAAAGGAAGACAGTAATAAAATATGTGGTGTATCTTCATTGGGTGGGTTCTGTGTGCAGAGCACATTCTGTGGGACTGAATGTTGTGGTGGTGCTGAATCACTAGTGGGGTAAAAGTTGTGGGCATATGAAGAAATGCAAAGGGAAAGTAAACATAAGAAAAATTAACCTTGGGAATACAAAAGAACTTTAAATGATAATTTAAAAATTCTCCTTTCATTTATTACATTAGCAATATTAAACTAGGGCTGGCAGGGTGAATTGGAATGGATCCTTTTATTCTGTACTGACAAGATGTCAAGTTAGCATCTCTCTTCAAAACAAGCCAGTATTATGAACCAAAAGCCTTAAAGCCATTATTTAGCTCATTTGACTCAGGTCTTTTCCTCCCCTGGGTTTATTGGTACTCATACTCATTTAGAATATTATGTCCTAGGTTCTGGGTGAGGTTCTAGGGAGATCCTGGAGAACTTCAAGTGATAAGGATCACTTGTGGTATAGTATTTGTAAAATAGAATAAAATATAAGCGATACCAATTGGGCAAAGAAAATGCATCTGAATGCCTGTCATATTGGAGTTATAAGTTTGTCTAGCTTCTTCTTTTTTGTAAATAAATACTACGTATTAAAACATTTTATGTTAGCTGGGTGTGGTAGTCCATGCCAAATAAAAAAACAGAAAAGAGCTGAGGATATATAGTTCAGTATGAAGGCCCTGGCTTCAATCCCCAGTACTACAAAGACAAAACAAAGCACCTCTAATAAAGGAAGCCTAGCAAAAGTTTCAGAGGTATTCCTCAGAGAATCCGGAACTAACTAGACCCAGAACTAATAAGGAAGCTCTGTGCATCGACTACAGGAATTTGTGCTTCTTCCTGGATGTGGCTTTTAAAACTGTAAAGATGAATTCCAGTTTGATGTGTCTATGATTGTGCTTCCCCTATAAGAATGTGTTTCTCTTTCAGTGACCTCATTGTTCCTGAGAGAGATAGCAACGAGACTGTCCCTGAGGTTGTTGTCACATCAGGTTATGCCCTGCTACATTTTTTTAGTGATGCTGCTTATAATTTGACTGGATTTAATATCACTTACAAGTAAGATATTTAAATCTGATGTTTGTGATTTTCTTTAAAGGGATGTATAATGATTATAAGGGCTTATAGCATTGCACATGCAGTGCTATGCAGTTTGCATGGGTTTTCTCACTTCAAGTTCTTTTAAAAACTCGGTGAGTTCTGTGCAGTGTTTTTCTATAATTGAAGAAACGGGCACAAAAAGTTAAATAATTGTCAGTGTAAGTGGTGGTGTTGGGACACAGCTTTTTTTCTGTTTGTTTTTCTGTCTTTTTGAGACAGGATCTTGCTATACAGTTCAGGCTGGCCTTGAGCTCAGGCTGGTCTTTTTTTTTTTTTTTTGGTTTTTCTCCGGTACCGGGAACCGAACTCACAACCTTGTGCTTGCCAGGCAGGCGCTTTTGCCGCTGAGCTAAATCCCCAGCCCTCAGGCTGGTCTTAAACTTGCAACAATCCTCCTGCCTCAGCCTCCCAAGTGGCGTATGCCACCACGCCTGGCTGTGTGTAGGGGCACAGTTTTAATTCAGGTGTTGCTGCTCTTGAGCTTCTCCTGGAAAACAGGAGTATTTTCCTGCTAATTAATAGAAATATCAAGAGTTTTTTTTGCTAAGGACAATTAACAACTATTAGCAGTTGTCATATATTTCTACTCCGTAGTAGAAGAATCTGTGTTCTTGAAGTATTAGGGTAGTGCATTTATCTCTCTCTCTTTAAAATCTGAATTGTGTCATTTCAGAATCCTGGCAGTATGATTATCAAAGGTCATGTTATGAGACATATTAGCGTTAAACTTGTAAATTAAGGTAAATTGGCCCGCTTTTTTCCATTTGAAATCAGGTAGATACAGGTACTAAGGAATTTTAAATACACCAGTCTGGGCAATAATCTGCAATGGACTTAAATTCTACAAGTTTCAGAAATTATCCGGGGGTTAATTGTACCATGAGTGTATTGCACCATGTGTACTCATATGTACCATGAGTGTATTGTCAGCAGCCCCCCTGCCACTTGCAAGTGTGAATTCTGCTATTATGTAACACTCAGCACTAATAAACTACAAGAATAGTTGTCCCAACCTCAAGGAGTTAAGTCTGAATAATTTTGCATAAATCTTTTCTCTTCTTACAATTTTTTTTTAACTTTATGAGTTACTTACTCTACTCTTTTGTTATGAAGATCCAGAAGTTGATTTGAGTTGCTGACATGTACTTCAGGTCTTAGCTTTGCAATATTGAGTGCCCACATTTGCTAAATACTACAGTTAGATTTGTGAGTGAACAGAAGACAGACAGACCCTTAGGACTTGTGTAGGAGGAAGTTATGCTGAATTAATTGACGCATTACTTTTTGTTGATTTAGTTTTCCCCACTGTCGTTCTAGTTTTGACATGTGTCCGAACAATTGCTCAGGCCGAGGAGTCTGTAAGATCAGTAACAGCAGCAACACTGTTGAGTGTGAGTGTTCTGAAAACTGGAAAGGTGAATCATGTGACGTTCCTTACTGTACAGACAACTGTGGCTTTCCTCATCGAGGCATCTGCAATTCAAGTGATATCAGAGGATGTTCCTGCTTCTCTGAGTGGCAGGGTAGGCACTTCTTTTACTGACATTTTTCTTTCAGTTCACAGAATGTTGCCTGTAGTAGTTGGCTTTATTCTCAGCATCCATGCAGTGTATATTAACCAATATCAGGTGGCATTTAAGCTTTCACACCCCTTTGTCCTGTTTCTTGCATTCAGTTTCATACATATGTAAAAGTGGTCTCCTTTGAGTTGTAGAGGGGTTGATATTTTTGTAACTCATTTGTGAAAGTTGGATGATTTGGTAAAGATTGCATAAATCTTTTCTCTTCTTACAATTTTTTTTTAAACTTTATGTGTTACTTACTGTACTCTTTTGTTGCGAAGATCCAGCAGTTGATTTGAGTTGCTGACATGTACTTCAGGTCTTAGCTCTGCAATGTTGAGTGCCCACATTTGCTAAATACTACAGTTAGATTTGTGAGTGAACAGAAGACAGACAGACCATAAGATGACACTAGCTGAGAACCAAGCTGGGAGATGGAAGAAGAGCTGACAGTAATGCTGTTTTTTCAAAAATTTCCCCTAAGTTCAGAGAAAATTAGGATCAGTTACACATTAAATCTTGGTGAAATCACTTAGTGGCATTATCTACAGAAATAGATAGTTGAAGGAATCTTAGGGGATTCTTTAAGAAATGAGTAAAGACAGTTGTTACTGATTTAGTGATCTTTTTATATACGTATACCTTGCTCATAACCATTTTATTTTGAAAAGAAATGTGCTTGTTCAAATGCCTTGGTTTATGGGGTTTGGCTAATATTGAGGAGTTAGTTGGAGTATTCAAGTACCTTCCACCTTACAGATGTTGCAGCAGAAGTTCAACTTCCAGGAAAAAAGTCTTTGTCTTGCTTTTGTTAAGTTCCTTACTTTATCAGAAGATAGTTTTTATTATTATTCAGAGTCTAGTTGTTACATTTTAGCCCTGAAGTTATTTGAATAGTTATGTTTGCTTTTTGAGACAAGGTTTCCCTTTGGAGTTCAGGCTGGCCTTGAACTCACTGTGTTGCCCAGGATGGTGTCAAACTCATGATGAACCTCCTGCCTCAGCTTCCAGAGTGCTGGGATTACAGGCATATGCCACTAAGCCTGGCTGAACAAAAAATTCTTCTGTGTAGTTTTTCCACTGAGACCTATTTTTCAATATTGAAAACACCTAACCTGGGTATGGCCAAGTCATCATTAGTGTGTAATTTTGTATTTTGTTAGAGATTATTCTTGGTTACTACCTTGAATTAAATGAAAAGAGAAATGATTTGCCTGCTGTTTAGATGCTAAAGGAAAGACAAAATATTCCTTAAATATTTGTTACATTTAGGTGATTAAAACTTGAAATACAATAAACTTTAAGTTGTAGTTTATGAAGCTAGTTTTTGTTTTATTAGGTCCTGGATGTTCAGTTCCTGTGCCAGCTAACCAGTCATTTTGGACGCGAGAGGAATATTCGAATGTAAAACTCCCCAGAGCATCCCATAAAGCTGTGGTCAATGGAAATATAATGTGGATTGTTGGAGGATACATGTTCAACCACTCAGATTACAACATGGTTCTAGCGTAAGTTGTCCTAAATATTCTTGCAAGAAACTTTGTTTAAAATTTTGAAAATACAGGTAAATGAGAAGGGAAATCATTCTACTATCTATGAAAAATCTGTTAATATTTTGGGAATAGTCTTTTCAACCTTTTTGATATATGCTGAGGTTTTGAAATTGATAGTAACAAAGAATTTGTTATCATAATAAGCAATAATTTATCTTTTTGAAAATTCTATCAAAATTTTGATATTTTGCCTTAGGTACATATAATATATTATATAAATATGAGATTACATTAGCTTTTAATTTAACTAATAGTTTCATAGATCAAATGGTTCGAATTTAAAATTTGCTGATAGAAATCATGCCACTGGTATCTCCCAGGGTTCAAGGTCTGTTTGCTATCTTGTGAAAATATCAAGATCTGTTTGCTATTTTATCTTACTTTGAAAGGAAAATATATATTATCATGGTGCTATTAACTATAAAGACTAACTTCTGGAACTAATTTATAAGCACTTACTCATGCTGATTTTGTGATCTGGAAATTTTCTAGGCATTTTCCATAAATGAAGATTGTGAAACACTAGCATCCTTTTGGAGATCCTGGAATAAAGTAGTAGTGGCGTAGTTTTTCAATTCTCCCAAATATAGTTATTAAAACACACAGGATAGCGAGGGTGGCAAAATCCAAACATAATCTATGACCAAAATTGTTCTTCATCAACAGATGGTGCTGAGCTGTGAATAGCTGGAAATCTGTGTGGTGTCAGTTTCTGTGTAGCAAGGAGCAGAGCAGAGCAGTGAGAGTTCACAGGACCCAGAATGACTAGAGGGTGCTTAGTCAGAGGCTCAGCAGATGGATGTGAGAGCAACAGCTGGAATTGCAGTCTTGTATTTTGTAGTAGTCGAGTGAGTTCAAGGTATCCATAGGAGGATTTGAAGAGGTTGGAGCAGTTTGTGACTTAATTCATTCTCAAAATGAACCAGCTTACATTTCTGTGCAGAGGAAAGTCCCACAGTGAGGCAAAACACTGGGAATAGGATTCAGATTAAACAGGACAGGGGCAATAGATAGAGACAAAGTGAAAGAAAGTTCAGGTAACCAAAATGTTTAGGGGACAGAGCCAGATGTCAATGAGTAGGCTGCCATCGCTGAGGATACTACACTGTGACCACAGAAGGTGACTTGAGAGCTGAGAGCTTAGGAAAACAGCTGTCCATCTGGCTGCCCCTCGAAAAGCACAAGTAGAAATAAGTTTACTGAAAAATACCAAGGGCAAATCTCGTAGAAAGTTCTTACAAGAAAAAGGAGAATAATAGACTAACCCCCTTCATACATGAAAGCATCACACATTTAAAAATATACTCATGAGGGACTGGGGATTTAGCTCAGTGGCACAGCACCTGCCTGGCAAACACAAGGTCTTGAGTTTAATTCCTGGTACTGGGGGGGGAAAAAAAAAAAAATATATATATATATATATATATGTACTCATGAAACTGATGACAATTATAATTCAGTATTAATACAGTAAGAAAATGGTATGTGATATGAAAGAACAATCTAGGGACTGGGGATTTAGCTCAGTGGCACAGCGCCTGCCTGGCAAGCTCAAGGTCATGAGTTTGGTTCCCGGTACTGGAACGCACCCCCCCCACCAAAAAAAAAAAAAAAAAGAGTAATGAAAGAACAGTCTAATCAGAACTAGAAAAATTCAGAGATGAGTGGATAGAAGTTAAGAATTTTAAAAATTTGAAAATAACTTCAGAATTGAAAACAAATCTGAAGTACTCAGAGTAAGTAAATATAATAGGTATTGGCTTAGAAATAGGATAGGAAAAGAAGCAATTTTTTAAAATGATAAAGAATGAGAGTCATATCCCTATTTTTTTTCAGTAAGTACAGTTAGAAAGCTTGAACACTGTACATAGAACAAGCAGCAGAAAAGTGTAGAAAAGGCAGCAGCAGTCTGGCTAGCACTGCAGGGCTCCTGCAATGATGTGACCTTTTTTTTTTTTGGTTTTTGGTTTTTGGTTTTTCTCTGGTACCGGGAACCGAACTCACGACCTTGTGCTTGCCAGGCAGGCGCTTTGCCGCTGAGCTAAATCCCCAGCCTGATGTGACCTTCTGAAGGTTTTTTTTTTGCCTTGTGTATCCCAGACTTGACATTGGGAAAACTGGCTGAAAATGTCAACAGACAAAAGCCAAAAAAGCCACAAGAAAAGCTTGTCCTCTCTTCTTAGCCCAAAGACCAGGAAAAGGACAGTCTAATGAGACCTTTTTAAAAAAAATTTTTTTTATGGGTACTTTTTAACAGTTTTTGGGTGCCAGGACCTTGCATATGCTAAGCAAGTGCTGTGCTACTGAGCTACATCTCCAGTCCACAAGACAAACCTTTTTTCTTTTCTCTCTTCCTTTCTTCCTTCCTTCCTTTATCTCTTTCTCTCTCTTTCTTTCTTTCTTCTTTCTTTGTTTCTTTGTTTCTTTCTTTCTCTCTCTTTTTCTTTCTTTCTTTCTAAGACAAAGCTTATATGAGTAACACTTCTTCAGCCAGACACCACAAAAATGTGGCTCCTTACCCACATGAGCCAGCAAAGCCTGGCTAGAAAGCTTAGATGTCTGCTCCCTCTAGGATGTGGTGAGGTGCCCAGCTCCACTAGGGTGTCATGAAAAATGCCAGTGGGGAGCCTGGACTTTCATCTCCACTAGGCAGTAATAAGGCCTTCCCCACTCCTGCAGTGTCAGTGGACACCACATAGGGAACCTGGGCCTCTATCCTCAGCTGGCAGTAATGGTATTAACTATAGTCAACCTTCCCCATCCCACTGGAGTGGTGCCATACAAGGCCTGCTGTGACAGATGATTAAAATAAGACCTAGATTCTCATGGCATGGTACAAAAACATTGAGATTTCAATTGAAAGTCATTTGTCATGCCAAAAACCAGGAAAATACCAACTTGAATGAGAAAAGCAGTCAAGAAATACTGACACTGGGATGACATATATTAGAATTATCTGACAAAGATTTTGAAGCCATCTTCAGAAGAATGCTACAATGGGCAACTGCATGCTCTTGAAAAAAATATAAGTAGAAAATCAGAGCCAGCCATGGTGGCACACACTTGTAAGCCCAGCACCTGGGAGGTTAAAGTAGAAGGATCATGTGAGTTTGAGGCCAGCCTGGGCTACAGAGTGGGTTCAAGGCCAGCTTGGACTATATACTGAGACCTTGTCTCTTAAAAAAAAAAATTATTGCCAAAGAAATAGAAGATACAAAGAAAAATCAAATGGACATTGTAAAACTGGAAAAACATAGTAACCAAGATAAAAATTCCAATTTCCCCAATAGAAGAATGGAAGGAAAAGAGGAACAAGAGAAAAGATAAAGATAAAATGATGGAAATTCTTCAATCTGAGCAATAGAGAGAAAATGTTATTTTTAAAATATGAATGGAATGTCAGAGACTTATGGGACTGTACTGAAAAAAAATTGAAATTTTTGTCTCTGGAAGAATCTTGGAAGGAGAGGAAGAAGAATTTCTGGAAAAGTATTGGAGGAAATAATGACTGAAGATTCCCTGATTTGTCAAAAAAATGAATCTATAGATTCAACAATCTAGGCAATTCCAAATAGTATAAGCCCAAAGAAATATATGCCAAGACATACCAGCATCAAACTTCTTGAAAAAGGGAAAAAAAATTTTGAAGTCTGTGAAAGAGAACTAACATCTTACTCATGGGGATAAAATAATTCAAATGACAACAGATTTCTCTCCCAAAGCTATGTACCAGAAGAGTATGGTACAGCATTCTTTATGCACTGAGAAGAACAGAGCATTGTTCAGGTCAATCTATAGTTCTGTGTCCAGCAAAAATATCTTTTAGGAACGAGGAGGAAATCAAGACATTCTCAGATACAGGAAAGCTAAGATAATTTATTGTCATTAGACTTTTTCTAAAACAGTTATAAAGGAATGTATTTAAATAAAAAGAAAGTGATAACAAAGAATTGTAGAACCTCAGGGAGAGGACAAAAATGCAGAGCAAAAATGCTGGTAAATGCAATCAGTTTTCTTTCTTGTGAGGTTTTACAGTGCACTGAACTGCTATCTTTTTCTTTTCTTTCCTTTTCTTTTTTTTTTTTCTTTTTTTGAGACAAGGTCTTGCTATGTTAGTCAGACTGGTCTGGACTCACTGTGTAGCCCAAGCTGACTCAAACTCTGGGCGATCCTCCTGCTTCAGCCTCCCAAATGCTGGGATTATAGGTGTGTGCCACCATGAGCTGGTATGAACTGCTATCTTTAATGGGAGTTTTAGTCCGCCTAGTTGGGGAAGTTTCAGTCTCTGATGTTGTTTCTTTGTTTTGTTTTTGAGATGGTGTCTCTCTATGTAGTTCAGGCTGGCTTTGGATTCACTATGTAGCCCAGGTTGTCTTCAGATCTTCCTGTCTCAGCCTGTGAGTGCTGGGATTATAGGTGTGTGTGACCACACTTGGCTCTGAGATTATTTCTCCGGCTCTTTTTTTGTTTGTTTTTTTTTTCCAGTACCAGGAACCGAACTCACAACCTTGTGCTTGCCAGGCAGGTGCTGTGCTGCTGAGCTAAATTCCCAGCCCGAGATTATTTCTCATCTGTAAAATACGGTGATAGGATGAGGAGTGGGTTTCTTAATATCTGAAGTTCTTTTTCTGGCTTAATTTTAGCAATCTTGTACCAAAAAAGATCTTAAAATTATATGAAACTTGTACTACATTTACTTAATATTCTCCATTTAAGAAGGACTTGAAAACATAGTTCATGATTTCTGTATATACTATCCTTGGCAAATCCAAACAACTTCTTAAAATTGCACACATTTTAACAGAAAACAAGCTGTCTCTGAAATCAGATGATCACTTTCAATACCAATAATGCTAAAGCTCCAAACTAGATATTACGTGTCATCTTAGATATTTTCTCGATCTTAATCCTAATAGTAATTCTATCACCTTTGCCCTTGACTACTCAATTAAGCT